TAACTCCGATAGTGGGGACAACAGCCAAATAAAAAAACAATTATTTGCAAACTAATATTGCATATTTCGCATTTCCACATATTTTTCCTTAATCAGCAAAATATTTGCAAACGATCTAGATATGCTTAGTGTTTGCAAATTATGTCTGAGCCAAGAAAACGATAATTTTGAAGGTTCTCGCCGCAACAAAAGTTTTTTGTTAATTATAAAAAACGTAAAAACCCCACAGTTTTTTAACAAAGTTTTGCAAACGTTGCAAACAATTCCGCATTTTTTGGCATTATTAACACTTGAATACAAATATCCTCTCGCTGCGTTCGCTAAGCCACCGACACGGCGAATCTGCTTGACTTTGGGAGAATGGGAGGGGGGACGTTTTGTATATATATTACCTGCACCACACATATACACCTGCAATTTAGATGATGTAAATATAATAGCAGAAATAGAGAGTATTACTATGTCTATGTAGATTGTTTATGATTTATAGCATGAATCATCAAGCAGAACGTTTGACTGCGTGTACCTACGGACGCGTTGTGAAGATATTTTTCAATGTAGTGGTAATTATATTGGACAAATACGTTCTAGTGAATTGTTAAAAGTTGCCAATTCAATATGTCTTGTGTAGAAAGATACAACGCACACCTAAGAATAATGGTGTGTTATTGAATGGTGTTTTATTGCCGTCAAAGTTTTAATTGTATTTGCATCTAACGTGGCAAATATTGTCATCAATTAAAATGGGAAACTGCCTGGATTGTTGCAAAGGTTCATCGTATGAAGACATAACGCCTGATCGGGTATGTTGTCTATTTCCGTGTAGGGGTTATCTTTTTTTTTTCCCCAAGTGCTTTTCCAAAACATTGAATACGAAAGACGAAAAGTAAGCATTGGATTGTTTCACTTTTTAGGATACAGTTAGACAACAACAAGTAGAGGCTGCAGAAAAACGTATGGCAGCTCAAGAAAAGAGAGGCATAGGCAATGTTGATGCTGTCAAGCGACAACAAAAGTTTGTAGAGGAAAGAGACAAGAGATTGAACGAAGCTGGAAATACCAGTGGCCAAGCTGGATTGAAGGTTGTCTTTTCTTATTGAAAAGTTTTCCTTACATTGTACATGCAATAACTTGTAAATACTTTCAGTGGCAAGTCAGTTAAGTCAAACAAAATTCTACCAGATTGCTACAAATTATTTCTAGAAGTTTTAAATCCAGGAACTTGACGTAATCAGCAATTGAATTTCTCGAGTTTTTTATTGCAATCAAATTTTCACGAACAAGTAAGTCTGACACGAGTTATCACATAATAGCTATTTTGCAAAAATAAATGATTTGAAATAATGTCATCTTTTCTTACTAAGATTTTTAAAAGAGCTATANGGATCGGTACAAGCGTGTGTGTCCTCGGACTAGAAAATTCGTGGACATCCTCGGTATACATATATGTATAACATAATGTGTATATTTGTGTAAGGACATAATATACCGCGTACGCTTACAAACTTAACATTGTCAAACCGGAAAATCGTTTGTTTCGGTCTAAATCGGTACAACCAACTTGCCGACTTTTTGGACACTCGTATATATATTGTATATACGTAAATACGGGTAACATAAAGAGGAAGTGCCTGGCACACGTGTGCAGTACTTCGGGGCTCTCTCTCTCTCTCTCTCTCTCGAATTCATTTGCAGTGGCCGTTTATTTATACCATTCGAGGGCGTGTATCAATAAGTACCGCGCACTCGATACGAAGGGCCACTGCGGACAAATTAATTTTGACTTTTGTTTCCCGTGGAAAAACCGAGGGTGAGGCGGGGGGGGGACGATTGCTCGCCATCGAATGTAGGCCATCACTCGTGGCGGTACATGAATGTAATAGGGTTGAGGTTGAGTTCGCGACGAAAACGAAGAGTGGGCAATGTGTTACAGAGGGAAAGATAAGAAATTTTCGGCGGCCCCTTTTACGTACAGTTTGTATGTATAATGCACGTAAACGAGTGCATATACATACATAGAGGCGCATACACGCGGTAAATACGAGTCGCGTGACTTTGAGTTTCGTGTATATAGAGTGCGGGGCCTCAATTATATATACATACGTATACGTATATATTGTAACGTGCTCGAACGTTGAATTACGATATACGTATGAAGGGTACCCTATATATAAATGCCTTGTGTGTGACGCATCAGCCTACTTATATATTGATTGGCAATGTACCCGCGAAAATGACGCTTCGAATAAAATATGACGTGTGTATATCGTTGCAGCGAGACTCTGTTGTGTGTACCTTGATTATTATTGTTCTCAGCGTGGCGCACAGTTTTCTCTTTTGTTCTTTTCAAAATAACGGCTCCATGTGATTTCCATCTCGGTATTATCTATATGGACGGTCGACGTAAAAAAAAAAAATTAGACAAGTAATTTGATAACGCGCGAAAAAATGTGTCGCTCTGTGTATACAATAGACACCGGACGAGCAAAAACGTGTGCACCGCATACCTGGGTATAGATTCGAATCTTATCAGCGGGGTAGCGATCAACGCGGTCGCGGCGCTCTATATGTATATAAATCTCTTTTTTTTTATCCATATATATATATATGCATATGGTGTGAAATTTATCGCGAGTGGGCATTCGTTTCGGGTATGTCGATGTATAATATGCGATCGGGCACGAAAATTTCATCAAATCGCACGCGTTAACGAATGGATGCACTTTGGCGAAACTCACCGTTCCTCTGCTGGTGCTTCATTTGTTGATATAGTGATACCGATCAAAAAAGGATAGTACTCGAGATCTGTAGAATATGAACCCTACCGGCCGTGTAACTTTGTCCAACTTCCCGAAACAGCTCGCGCATGCAGGTGATACACACAACTCGTCATCGTGTTGTGCACGCGCATGAATGTACAAATGAACGAAAAATCGAGTGCGCGGGCAGACGTATAGAGGGAGGAAAAAAAAAAAAAAAAAAAAAAAATCACATTGGAGTAAACAATTTATTTACTGGAATTTGGGAAGTTTACTACAGCATCATTCAAGTTTTTTATCATTGAAATTCATTTTTTATTTTCCGTTTTCATATAAAGTGAATAAGTTTTATTAATTTATGATCGTATCATTGCTAAAAATAAGCAAGAAAATCAAGCAGTCATGTGTGGGATTCGAATGGACGTCTGTAGTATAAGTACATACAATGAATAAAAATCTACAACGTTTCCTCATCTCTCCAAATTGATAAGCATGTAATACCTTGCTTGACTACAATGTTTTCAAAATATTTTTATTAAAGAAATTTTATTTGCCATTTATAGCGATTTGTACATTTTCCAATCAGGATCATAATATTTATAATAGGTCAAATTTTAATTCTACATGTATATATATATATATNATATATATATATATATACGTGTATATTTAAATATATATGTATAAATATATCTTACAAAAAATTGCCATACCTTATTTCGAAATAAATAATATTTCTCGCAGCACTAATGCTAAATATTTGTACTACTTTTAAATATACTGAAGTAGAAAAATATGAAATATCGCTATTCTAATCTAATTGCAACACTTTATTTCTACAATTATAAATCACAATTCACATGAGAAGGGGGTTACAACTTTAGTGTTCGCGGAATGTGGGTATTATTTGAATCTAAATATAAATAATATTCCTAAAACTGCTGTAAGTACTGTAAAAGTAATATTTTTGCAAGCCTTTTCGTTTTCTGCAAAGCCAGACAGTGATGATCAAGATCTTCCTTTTGGATTCAAGTGATCGTGTTTTACAATTTAGCGTCCCGATGCATGGCAAAAGGCTTGTTTACGTAAAGCTTCGTTTGTAAAGAAGAAAGAAAAAAAGAGTATTTATTTCAGAGTTTTCCAATACTTTTAACAGACCACGAGCGAAAAAGCTTCTTCGTCGATCGCTTGATTTCTCGACCGTGCGCGATTTGAATTTCGATGGAGGCTCCGTTGTTCAAGGCAAGCCATGTACGCACTTCGTTCGTAGCTGAGGAAGCACCTACAAAAAATAAAGAAAAATCCATCTAACCTTGATCAATCAACAACAACTTGCATATACCATGGAAAAAAGGTAAAAAGGGAAGAAAAAAAACGGTTACCCAGCAACTCGTGCAGCGTTATTCTACGACTGGCGAGCAATTCCTTGCTAGCACTTCGAATTTCAAAGACTAGTGTGGCTTGTCTAGGCACAGAGTCGTAGTCGAGCTGAAAATCTATACAGAACTGTGGATTCGGCATTGCGGGTAGTAGTCGAGACTTGGCGATTGTTTTGCCACCGGTCAACGATGTTGTCATTTTTTCCGGACTCGTACAACTTGGAAAAAAAAAAGAAAAAAAATATCAAATCAACACTTGGTTAGCGTCAAAGAGCAGAAATTACATTTTTTCAATAAATTACAAGGGAAACGTACTTTTGAAACTTCACGCGACAAAACAACTGAGCTATGTGCGCTACGTGAAGACCCTGAGCTTGGAGAACCTTGCCTTCAACCCCCGAGTACTTTTCTCGCACCCCGTTCACGACCTTCAATTCTGTATGCACAAGATTGTAAGTGATTTAAAAAGAAAAAAAACAAATTCCAAAATGAACGATGGAAAAAAAAGGCGCTTATATACCGTTAGACCGAAACCTCAATTTCGGACTACCCTGTCGGATTCTAGCAAGCATATCCGGCTGCGAGACTGCGTGCGATAGTCCAGAGTTTTGCAAAAGTTCCATGGCGTCGGTTTCACCTGTCCGCCGCGGCTCCAGACTGAGGTTCACGCCTTTGTTGGACTCGGCTTTTTCCTCGATGTTCACCTCGGACTTGAACCTCCGTAGCTTCAGGCCACGCTTCATCTTTGTACACACACATCATCACATGTAGGTATATGGGGATAATTTTGTAAAATTCATGTCGATTTCATTAGTCAACCGTCAAAGTATGGCCACCTTTTGTTTCATCAACCGGAAACTGTTGTACTGCGGGGTCTTTTTGCCAAAACTCGGATCAGGACTGTTGGACAGACTGTGCTGGCTCGAGGCCAGTTTCAGCTTCGAATCGTCGGTCTCGTCCGCGCAATCGACCTGCTGTTCGCCGTTTTTCTTGGGACTCCAGTGATTGTTTGTCGTCGTCTCGCTGCACTCCTCGATGATTTCTTTGGCTTTCGAAAGAATTTTACCTACGAAAATAAAAAGGGTCAAGTGAAGGCGCACCGGCCTCATGCGTGGTGGTTGTCCACGTGTTACCGGTGTTGTTGGCGTTTCGAAAATTCTTGGGCGACGATTGGGCAGAGTTAGGGTTCGGCGGTACAATTGGCGCCTTGATCAGAGTGACGGTTCTGGGAGGCGGCGGGGGTGGTATAACGGGCTCGAGGTGCAATTTCATTCTCGACTTCTCCATCGACGGCCGACGCAGGATGCCGCTCGTCACGGGCGCCGTTGGTTGTACGTCCTGGATGTCACTGGGTCTGGTCGAGGCCTCGCTTATGGTACTCGTCGCGTAAGTACTTTGAGTCTTGGGGAGAAAACCAAGGGGGTGATTCTATTGATGGTGTTCGATAGTAGGGGGGGGGGTCAGGCGCGTGCGTGTGTATAATACGCTCACCTCGCATTCCTCGGACAAAACCTTGACCTTGAGCTCGATAGATCCGGATTTCGTGCCCCGCAGAGTGAACCAGTACGGCTGGTCCGTACTCGACAGTCTGCGGATTTCCTCGAGGGTCAGTGATACTTTGCCAAGGTAGTCTTTCATACCGAAAGTATCGTGGTCCCACAAAACCTGCGAAAAAAAAAGTAGATTTATCGAGGATGGTTCTTTGAAGGTTCGCCCTGCGAGTTGTCTACTCACAACGTCCAACGTTTCGCCGGACCGGGGCAAGCCCATGATGGAACTCTCGTCCCAGCACGGATTGAGGGTCTTCTTCTTGACGCTGCTCTTGTATTTGGTTTCATTGTTGAGCCTTAACTCGCAAAAGGGATCGCTGAAACCATTGAGATCCTTGGAGACGAGATCCTTGGCGCGCAACAGCGTCACCTCCATGAGTCCGCTTCCCGTCGACAGAAGACTCGATACGTCCGACGTTGCATCGGCCTCTCGGTGCGTCAACAGCATTTTCTGCAACATTGGAAAAGACTAATTGTTCTTTTTTTTTTTTCTTCTTCTCCTTTTTTTTCCCTACTCGATTAGCGTTGAACGATACTAACTGCCTGCTGCATCCAAGGTAAGCTGTTCCTCTTGCTCTTGGGCTCGTCCTCGATGACTACTTGGTTGTCGCTGTTTTTTCGGCTGGCCGTCATTTGCTGGACACTCCGCACCGGGTGAAACAGCACCGACACCGTCATCGTCGACATGCCGTTAGATCCGCTTAGCGTCAATTCCTTGCGAACTATCCACTTTGTTTCCTGAATAGCGATAACATCCGAGGTGAATTTTATTTATATAAAAACATTACGTGCATGACAATCCGAGCATTACTACATCTGTAGACGGATCGTGCTCGTTTTCCAAAGGACACTCCAAGAGACTCGCATTTGTACTTACGGTGGACAGAGATAACATTGCGAGGCCGAGCATGTCGGTGTCCGACATTTTCGAGATGTTCCACGAATATATGACGAAGCTCAGGGACACCTGGGTGTAATCTTGCACGAGAAACTCGGCCCTCGACTCCCAGCGCGGGGAAATCGTTTCGCGAATATAGTGAGTCGTTTTCACCTGAAACGACATGGATACACATTATTTTTTTCCAAAAGTTGGGTCTTGCAGAGTATACACCTGTACTGATGGTTCAATCAACGAATCGTTCGGATACTCACCTTTTTACGATTATTGAAGAGAAGACAGTACGGGTTGCACTGGGCGTTGTCGGTGTTGAGATTATCGGCCGAGTGTATGTACACCACGAGTACTCCTGAAAGTAACAAAAAAAAAAAAAACAAAAAAAAAAAAAAAAAATACCAGCGAGTGAAAAAAAAAAAAAAAAGAGCTAGAGCCTATATTTCGTAGGCATACCAGCCGTGTGCGATTGTAAAGGGTCGGGCACGCTGGGCTGGACGGCGTCCGGTTCGAGAGTCGGTAGTGGCACGTACTCGAGCTTGGCGCTGATGCTCGGTATGCTGGTGCTGCTCCTCGAGGGCTTCTTTTGCTGGAGCACCGTTTCCACACTGCAAGGTTTTCAAAATTAACACATTATCATACATCAAAAATCACGAGACCCCCAAGGGGAACCCCTAAAATCATAAACCGTATTTCGATGGTTTGCACGCGTTTTTTTATTCCTTTTTAAACCTTAATATATTGAAAAAGGAAACCTTGTATGTATACCCCACCAGCCAAGCGAAAGTAAAATGCAAAACCTAGCGAGACGAGTAAAAATAAAACTCCCTCACCCCCTGTTGTTGTCGCGAATAAAAAGAAAAACTCACAGCTGCGAGTTGTCCCAGTTGTAGACGCCGAGGGCGAGCTCGTACTGAGCCAAGGTGATGGTACTGACGAGCCTCTTGGCCTTGAGCTTGATGACGATGCGCTCGTTCTCGAGGCCCCCCACCAGGAACGACGCGTCCTCGCTCCAGGTTGGACTCAATTGGGAGGTGACGCGTCGCTGCTCACCTACGGTCACCACCAACCAACGCACCTCGTCGCCCGCCGTACTGTTACCTGTTAATTTTGCGTCCCCGTGTTTTATTATATTACCTATAATATCTTGGATGCGCCACGGATAAAGTGTGTATCCTACCTGGCGGGGCCGATTGGCCGAGGGTGACGGTGAGAACGGCCTGGGGCGTGGTCACGGGGAGACAATCGAAACCCGGGCCGGGGCGCTCGGTGGCGCGAAGGTCGAACTCAAAGTGGCCGGGATCGACCAGCCAGCTGGCCAAGGCGTCCGAAACGACGGCGTGTATCCAAGTTTTGAGCAACGGCACCTCCATCATCTGGACGGAGCGCAGGAGGCGCACGCTGAACCAAACGTCCGGCTTCTCGACGAAACTCAAGCTCAGTTGGCTGGCGTGGGGGAAGGGCGCGCTCGTGTCCAGGGTCACCGAGGCGAGGATCGTCCCCGACACCGACAGCTTTTCCACGGCCAAGTCGATGTCCATGCCCATGCTGCTTTCCGCCCCAGGGATTGCCAAGGATACATATACATATATATATATACCGACTCTATGTTTTGTGTGGTATGGAGCAGGTGGACTCACCCTTTGCCGAAGAGCCGAGTGGCGATGAGCATGCGAAACTGCTCGCAGTCGAGGTTTAGGTCGGCCTCGATGCAGAGCCTCGTCGAGTGCTGGGGCCTACCACCACCGGCCGACAAACTCGAGTCCTCGTCACCGTTGTACTCGAGGGTGCGTATCCTCGTCACGCAGGGCGTCTGTTCCCCCAACGTTAGCTCCCTCAGCTCGAGAGACCCTGAATCATCATCATCATCATCATCATCATCGTCATCATCATCATATTTTGTAGTGGTCAAACCAATGTTCAGAGAGAGACTATATACAAATGTTGCTTCAGGTTCACCCCAACCTACCCACTTTTTGCATCCTTGGCGTGTGCCGGTAATTGGCGCGACGAGTATTGTGCGGGGAGAACGAGCTAATGGGGAGGGGGGCAATTTTTTTTCTTCTTTTCGCTTAAAATTTATCTGCGCGCTCAAACTGTCCGAGACCGATATATCTTGAATAAATAACTTACATACAATGTGGTGGGGGGGGGGCACTGTATAATATATGTATATTGTTTTATCAAGCCGAGGTGTATACATATACACGATGCCCTTGCCGATTGTCGAATGACGGATGCATTGAGCGCTCGCGCGCCAACAAACGCTTTTATTTCCGAAGCAAAACATTTCATTCCGTGTGCATTTGTGTTGATGGCGAAACAAAAAAAAAAGAAGATAATATGCCAGCTTTACCCAATATAGCCGGCTTGGCGTCGTTCAGCAGAGGCTCCAGTCGTTCCTTCGCCAGGGAAAACAAGCTGGCCGCGCTGAACCTCCACCTGAAAACCCCCCGAGAGGTAAAGGGTGAAAAAAAAAAAAAAAAAAAAAAAAAGAAAGAGTAAAAAAAGTCAACGGTGACCCATACCACTTGTTGATCAATAAACTGAGCCACTCGGCGGTCTCGTCCTTGTAGAGAGCGCGTCGCCTGCGCAGTCTCGCCAACTCCTGCTGGAGCACGTGCTGCAGGAGCCTCGTGATCCGCGTCTTGGTCACCGTGCCGGCCAAAAAGAGCAACAGCACCAGCCACGCTGGGGAAAAGCCCGTCAACCCGATGAACCAGCCGCAGGTGACGATCAGGCCGAGCAGCAGGGCACCGCGCAGGGCTTCGGCGTTGCGCTGCGCACGATTTTCACACGTATATTATATATTATTATGTATACCTATGGGTTTACTTACTTGCGCGAACCGATTTTTTCAAACCAAGATCGGTAAACCATAAATTATAATACTATCTCTTGTTTGGTATTGGGTTTTGTATACGTATACGAATCGAGATCGGCAGGAGGATCAATACGCGGGGTGTGTGACATTTTCCATAGAACTTGTGTTGTACAAATTACATGCGTATATTTATTAACGCGTACCAATTATAATACAATGTCGGCATGTTGTATATAAATGCATTGCATGTACGACTCGTGTATAAAATATGTATAACGTATAGGTACACCAAAATGTTGTGTGCTTACGATGTATCGTCATACATTTGTACAAATGTGAGGCCGCGAGTGTCCAGTTTTAGGTGGTATAAATACATATAACACAACCACATAGTATACAATATATATATATGCACGTTAAAGGACTCGAGAATAAATGCAAGACAAAGATGTAGGACGCGGACGCACGCAACGTTGCGTGAGCGCGAGCCGGTAACCCCCGTTTCGTTAGAGCTTGCTGATGATGTGTATGTATAATACACGCGAGAGAAAGAGAGAACACTCGATCAGGTCCTCGGGAATCCGAAATCATTTTCTCCCCCCCCCCTCCCCCACGAGTCGGAGAGATAAAAATTACGTCACGATTGATATGTGCAAAAGTCTTGGACGTGCCGGTCTGCTCATTTGGATAGATCGGCAGATTAGAAAACCGGAGAACGATATGTTTCGCTAGTTTGAAGTAAGAATGAAAAACTTGGGCTAATTTAATTGAATATCTATTTTGTATCATTTTGCTCGGTTACGAGGAAAAAAGAATTTCGAGACTATTAGGGGGGGCCGTGCAAACACATCGCTAACGGGAAATAACTGGGAAAAGGAGGCGACACGCACCCTGCACGAGCCGAAACACAATCGTTAGCACTCGATTTTCCAGTTTTCGTAATCGCGCTCAATCGTAAAGATATACCGGTGATGCTATATGTCTATAAAAATAATGTGAAAATCATCGCGGTGACTCTTCTTTTTCTTTACCACGTGCAAATCGGGAGAAATCGATCGAGCGAGGAAAAAAAAAACCCTAAACCTCCTCCTACGAATTATCTACAATCGGAATCCTACACCGATCGCGAGCAAACAACTATTTTTCCGTACACCCGTACAATTGTAAATACATATATCGCGTGTATAGGTATATAATTATAATACGTACCAGTGTCTTTTGCGCGGCACCAAAGACAAATTCCTCGTCGGCCGGGTCGTCGGGCGTCATCTTGGCCGTTGTCGGTAGGATGCACTGCACGGGAAGATCGGCAGCCAACGATCGGATAGCTGCCGCCGTGTCCGACGAGCCAAGGTAGTCCGCGCCGACCGGACTGTTGTTGGACCCGCTGCCCTCGCGCTTACCTGTCCGGAACATACAAATGTTGCAAGGATATGACCTTTTTTCTTTTTTACCTCATTCAAATTATTACATTCGAGGAAAAAAGTATAATGACGCTACAGAGCGATGTTTGTTTTTTTGTTTTTTTTTTTCTCTCCTGCCCTGCGTACTATTATAATTATAGGTATAAGAGTAAAAGATCGAGATCTCCATCATGTATAAGCGTGTACTGCGGATGGGATTCTCCTTTGATGCATATATAAAATAAGGTACCAATTGATGTAATGTTAATCCAGTGTAGCTCTCATGGACACATCCTAATAAGCTTGCCGCTGCATGGAGAGGAGAAAAAAAAATTACTTTTTCGAACTGAAAGTCTCGTCCGATCCATACCGATCGATCGGCGATTTCTACGCGAGAAAAGTCCATCAGTTTGACGTAGGTATATAAATATATATATGTGTACTTTATGTGTGTCATCACCCGAAACAATATAGGAGCATTCCCTCGGAGCACCGGAAACAGAGCACACGACTACGTCTGCACAGCAGGTACGTGCATACCGGACTTTGGTACGTGCGATGCATAAGTATTACACAACATGCGACGGAAGTACTAACATAGCAAGACAATTAATTCTCCGAATCGAATAAAGTGCGGAGGTCCTACGAGACCTTCGTGAGTGTGTGTATCGGTTGCTTCCTTATGTACTATTATATATATATATATAACGTGCCTGCGTCGCAATCGGATCGGTACAAGCGTGTGTGTCCTCGGACTAGAAAATTCGTGGACATCCTCGGTATACATATATGTATAACATAATGTGTATATTTGTGTAAGGACATAATATACCGCGTACGCTTACAAACTTAACATTGTCAAACCGGAAAATCGTTTGTTTCGGTCTAAATCGGTACAACCAACTTGCCGACTTTTTGGACACTCGTATATATATTGTATATACGTAAATACGGGTAACATAAAGAGGAAGTGCCTGGCACACGTGTGCAGTACTTCGGGGCTCTCTCTCTCTCTCTCTCTCTCGAATTCATTTGCAGTGGCCGTTTATTTATACCATTCGAGGGCGTGTATCAATAAGTACCGCGCACTCGATACGAAGGGCCACTGCGGACAAATTAATTTTGACTTTTGTTTCCCGTGGAAAAACCGAGGGTGAGGCGGGGGGGGGACGATTGCTCGCCATCGAATGTAGGCCATCACTCGTGGCGGTACATGAATGTAATAGGGTTGAGGTTGAGTTCGCGACGAAAACGAAGAGTGGGCAATGTGTTACAGAGGGAAAGATAAGAAATTTTCGGCGGCCCCTTTTACGTACAGTTTGTATGTATAATGCACGTAAACGAGTGCATATACATACATAGAGGCGCATACACGCGGTAAATACGAGTCGCGTGACTTTGAGTTTCGTGTATATAGAGTGCGGGGCCTCAATTATATATACATACGTATACGTATATATTGTAACGTGCTCGAACGTTGAATTACGATATACGTATGAAGGGTACCCTATATATAAATGCCTTGTGTGTGACGCATCAGCCTACTTATATATTGATTGGCAATGTACCCGCGAAAATGACGCTTCGAATAAAATATGACGTGTGTATATCGTTGCAGCGAGACTCTGTTGTGTGTACCTTGATTATTATTGTTCTCAGCGTGGCGCACAGTTTTCTCTTTTGTTCTTTTCAAAATAACGGCTCCATGTGATTTCCATCTCGGTATTATCTATATGGACGGTCGACGTAAAAAAAAAAAATTAGACAAGTAATTTGATAACGCGCGAAAAAATGTGTCGCTCTGTGTATACAATAGACACCGGACGAGCAAAAACGTGTGCACCGCATACCTGGGTATAGATTCGAATCTTATCAGCGGGGTAGCGATCAACGCGGTCGCGGCGCTCTATATGTATATAAATCTCTTTTTTTTTATCCATATATATATATATGCATATGGTGTGAAATTTATCGCGAGTGGGCATTCGTTTCGGGTATGTCGATGTATAATATGCGATCGGGCACGAAAATTTCATCAAATCGCACGCGTTAACGAATGGATGCACTTTGGCGAAACTCACCGTTCCTCTGCTGGTGCTTCATTTGTTGATATAGTGATACCGATCAAAAAAGGATAGTACTCGAGATCTGTAGAATATGAACCCTACCGGCCGTGTAACTTTGTCCAACTTCCCGAAACAGCTCGCGCATGCAGGTGATACACACAACTCGTCATCGTGTTGTGCACGCGCATGAATGTACAAATGAACGAAAAATCGAGTGCGCGGGCAGACGTATAGAGGGAGGAAAAAAAAAAAAAAAAAAAAAAGTTAAAGTGCACACTTTCTCGTTTCCCGGTTATTACTGCAGGTGGATTGTGTTTGCCGCGGTGTACGGGGCTACCCAGCCAACGCAAGCAAGCAAATATCGCGTGCAAGCGCCGCTGATGGACGAGCAAATATGTGTGTTATTCCATGTGTGTACACTTCAAAGAAAGGAATGCCTTTTTTTTTTTTTTTTTCCTCGTGACGTATATATGGCATTCGGACGCGTGCATGGAGGGTAAATTCCTGTACTTTCTCGATGCGAGGAAAAATACATTTTTTGGTTTTGTACGAAAAAATGTGAAAGACGATGATGATGGCCTGTTCGTGACGATGATTGAGACGTTTGGGCCATTAGCTGGAAAAACACAAGCGTTTTCTCTACTATTCGCGGGATGGAATTATTACCTTGATTGCCCTTGCGTCAGATTTTTTTTTTTTTTTTTTTTTTTATTTTCCGATAATTTGAAAAAATTAAAAAGCTTAAAAAAAAAAAAAAAAAAAATGGCAATCGCGGGGTTTTTCCCCCACGCGCTTGTATACTAATCTTGAGGATAGCACCGATGCAAAAGTGCCCAACAGCGAGCGCAGATAGATAAGCAATGAAAAGCGCGTGTGAAAGAACGAAAACGAAAAAGTTGTCATTTATCGGATATACACCGCATGTATCATCCCACACTTATCTGTTTTTGCAGTGTTACGAAGGAAAATACCATTTTTTTCCATCGTTCGTGCGTAAGTACACTTACGCAACCGGTAGATTTTTTAAACAAGAAAAGTACCTTTTTTAAGGGAAGAAGCGCGCTTCAGTTGTCGCGCCATGAAGCTCGACAGTAACTGCATTATATATATCGTTATTGTATACGTATATATCTCCGCTTGTCAGTCAGAGATATAACCACCACCTCTTGCCTCTGCAGCCCCTATGGCTACTGAGTCATCATGATTTTTTTTTTTTTTTTATTTGTTCACAAGTTACATCTCGCGTGTGACTAAAAACGAAAACAAAAAACACACCCACATATCTCAGTCGTTTCGACAAAGCGATTATTAGGAAACAACCCCATCGCAACGTAACGACACGTGCACGGGTGTAACAATTAACAGTTGGGCTCCAACGGACAATGAGGCGCGCGCTCGAGCTCGTGGTCGCGCGAACGTACGACTGCTGGCCAAACCCCGCTCGCACGTGATCGTCCCTTTTGCGAGCCCCTTTTCCCGTACACACGGGGAAAAATAAACGCCTGCGCGCCACGAAACGACGGAGCTATCGAGAATAACATCCACACGACACACGAGTGGCCAGAGCTTGCAAGCGCATCCCTCACGTTTATATATTATATACGTATACACTAGCACGTGTATGATGATGCATCGATGGCGTGGCCCTTTTTTTTTTTTTTTTTTTTTTTTTTTTTTTCTTCTTCTTACGCCTTCCACGTTAATTGTACCGTAGACATGACGATCACTCGCGCTCGATTGAAGCAGTGGTCAACTTGAGACGCGATGGGCCCCGAGGACTCGTGCTTCGCGAAGGCAATCTTATTTTCATTTTTTCAAGTGCAAGAGAACTGGTCCTTCGACTCCTTTCGACGCCTTGTAAAAAGAATCGCGCGTAGGGGGTTACGGGGGAAGAGGGCACATTTATATGGGTTTATCGTCGCGGCCGACGTGGATAGAATATACGAGCGTTGAGCTGGGTATTGCGCAAATCGGGCACGCACGAGGACGCTATTGTGTACTTGATGTTTTCGGTCGTTCATTCGGGGGACCTTTGAACCTTGGTGGTCATTTTTTTCTCAAACTATACTTTCGACAATCCGGTCTGGCTAGCTAGAAGCGTCGTGCATAGTTTTTTTATTTTAATTGTTTTTTTTTTTTTTTTTTTCATCATGGTTCACATATGTTATAACATGATATACAATACGTTACGAGGGTGTGGCGTAATGTCCATAAATGGTATTGGTGTATTTATGTAAATAAAATAAAAGTATTAATTTTAATCACGTAACGCACACAAATTAATGTTTCTTTTATTACTTATTGCTTTTGCAATGAGGCTAATGACTTGGCGATCCACCTGACACGGGCTGCTGCGAAATTCTAGTCGCGATGATTTTTCACGAAACCCCTGTTCTTTTTTTTTTCAACTTTGGCGATATAAAACAAAATAATGTCAATTGGTATATATAATTATAATCTGCTCGGGTATGTTTTAGTTTACTTGGTCGTTTCGGTAGAGTTTGATCGGTACGACAAGTTGGGAAGGAATAATAAACAATTTACATTCACGTGTCCCTGAACTTCGTGGACTCAGTAGATCAATTGACTACCTAAGCATGTCATTTAGCCACTATTATCCAATATTTGACAAACGTTAAACATCCAAAAATACGCATGTAAGCCACATTGAATTTTTACATGGATGAACGAGGCTTCGCATCATTACTACTATGAAATATACAATTTAAAAAAGAAAATTTTTATCATCTTATACAATGTAAAACAAGATCAAGGCACAGCTGAGAACTTTGATCACCGCAAAACAATCGATAACGTAAGGAATTTTAATAGAGCCTCATTAATATTTGCAGAGATCACGATAAACCGTACAAACACTTGGATTATGTCATTTATGCAACGTCCAATATTGCGCGTTCGACATACACACACCACCTGATTTCCTCTAGGCAAAAAACACACAGGTTTCACACGACGGTATAAGTACTGCACCCACACACAATAGCATGGTATACCTGATTATTTATGATAAAAAAATTAAAATTCACCGAGTAATGTGAGAAATCTAATCTATCGATAAAGTAACTACCCCGAAGGCCATCGCGATAGTAAAAACGACACACGGGTAGAGTCAGAGCGCGAGATAATAAAAATAAAAAGAAAATACATTTATATATATATATATATATATATATATATTCCTGGTAAGTACGACGGGGCACGTACGGCTCGGTATAAATACGAGGGACACCGACATGGACTCCTCAGCTTTACCAGTGGTATATCCTGTGTGCAGCCATGTGGTCACTGTTTTTCGTGAGCTTCGGGCTCTTGGTGGGCATCGGCGCCCAACCCACGGACAAAGCAGCGAAGCAACAAAACCTCGACTGGTGGAAGACCAGCGTCATCTACCAGATCTACCCCCGCAGTTTCAAGGACAGCAACGGCGATGGCATCGGTGACCTCAACGGCATAACTGAGAAACTGGAGCACATCAAGGACGCCGGAGCCGACGCTTTGTGGCTGTCGCCCATCTACTCCAGTCCCCAGAAAGACTTTGGCTACGACATTTCAAACTTTACCGACATCGCCGAGGAGTACGGGACTTTGGACCACTTCGACCAGTTGGTCGCCAAGGCCAAGAAGCTCGGGGTCAAGGTGCTCCTGGACTTTGTGCCCAACCACAGCTCGGACGAGCACGAGTGGTTCAAAAAGAGCGTCAAGCGCATAAAACCTTACGACGAGTACTTCGTGTGGAGGGATGGGAAAATTGGGCCGAAAGGTGAGCGACTCCCACCCAACAATTGGCTGTCCGTCTTTGGGAAATCCGCTTGGGAGTGGAACGAGGAGCGCAAGCAGTACTTCTATCACGCTTTCGTCGTTGGACAGCCCGACTTGAACTACCGGAATCCCAAACTTAGGCAGGAGATGGAGGACGTGCTCACGTTTTGGATGAAGCGGGGAGTCGATGGTTTCAGGGTTGATGCCGTCAACCACATGTTTGAGGTAGCCAATCTTCGTGACGAGCCGAGAAGCGGGAAGGCAGTACCAGTGGATGATTACGACTTTTTGGACCACACCTACACCAGAGACCTCAACGAAACTTATGGAGTCGTCGCATCGTGGCAGAAGCTCCTCGACAACTTTGTGGCTCAACACAAGACGGACGGCAAACTCATGATCCTGGAGGCGTACACCAGTATCCCCAAATCCATGCAGTTCTACAGCGTTGGCGCCAACCCCTTCAACTTCATGTTCATCGCTGATTTGAACCAAAATTCCAAAGCCATCGACTTCAAGAGGAAGATCGACGACTGGCTCAACGCAATCCCAGAGGGAAAAGTGTCAAACTGGGTCGTGGGCAACCACGACAACCACAGAGTAGCCACGAGGTACGGCGAAAAGCGCGAGGACCAACTGACCCTCCTCAGTGCCATTTTGCCCGGCATCACCGTAGTCTACAACGGCGACGAGATCGGTATGGTGGACCGGCCATTCACGTACGCGGAGACGGTCGATCCTGCCGGCTGCAATGCCGGCCCAGATAGGTACCACCTAAAGTCCCGGGACCCCGAGAGGACACCCTACCAGTGGGACGCTACGACGAGCGCTGGGTTTTCGACGTCTACCAAGACTTGGTTGCCGGTCCACGACAACTACAAGACTCTAAACTTGGCGGCGCAGAAGAAGGACGCAGTGTCGCACTACAAGTTGTTCCAGGCGACGACGAAGCTCAAGAAGACGCCAGTCATTCAGAAGGGCAGGACCGAAGTGCTACTGGCTGGAGAGAATGTCCTGGCTGTGGTCAGGCGGTTGAGCGGACAAGGGACCGTCACGCTTTTGATTAATTTCAGCGACAAGCCCGTGAAGGTTGACGCGAAAGGTTGGCTCAACATCCCGATGAAGGCGCAGATTTACGCGGCTAGCGTCAAGTCAGGACTGAAAGCCGGGGCTCAAGTCAAGGTGGACGACGTGACCCTTCCTGGAGCTGCCTCGGTCATTTTGTACTCGCGAGCTTAAACAAACGTTTATTCTCTCTCGTAGTCAAAACGATTAATGGCTATTAGGCAATTGAATTTGTACGATTCAAGTAATAACTTGATCGACTCGTAATGTAAGAAAAGATATAGTTAAATAAAAATTTGTTAATCGTATGCAACGACTTTTATTGTCCGTTTAATGTTGCGGTCATTGTATGTGAATTTGTTGTTTATTGATTGCGTACGTAAATGCTTCGTCTTTTGGAACAACACGTGCTGGATAATACGATGTAAATTTAAAATTTTATATTTAATTTGGAACTTCATCCAGATCATTTGGTCTTTGTTGTATCGGTTTATTATCCATGCCTAACCTTTTTTTTTTTTTTTTTACAAATCCTGTCCCAGTAATCTTTCCCGCACATCAACAGTTTTACCGATTTTCACGCAATTACGAAACCACACGGCATTAGGTAACAGATTTCCAGGTGAAATAAAATTCCCACGTTTTCTAGTTTTGTATACGAAACCTGATTTCTTTTACTAATTAACAATCGTAATTTTTTTTACTACAATGGTACCATAATAATTGTTTAAAATTAAGTTGAAAAACAAAAGTTTGGATTACATCGTCGTAACTCGCTCTTATTGCATAATCTTCATCAAAACGTCAGATCTTAAATTTCTTGAAATCAAAACAAAGATATTTTCCAANTCGTAATTTTTTTTACTACAATGGTACCATAATAATTGTTTAAAATTAAGTTGAAAAACAAAAGTTTGGATTACATCGTCGTAACTCGCTCTTATTGCATAATCTTCATCAAAACGTCAGATCTTAAATTTCTTGAAATCAAAACAAAGATATTTTCCAATCGAATCGACGTATGGAATTTTTGTCCACGACTTGGATGGCGTCTACATCTTCACTCTCTACAGTTTAGATCCAGCTCTAAAACTTGACGTCGCATCGCAATGCATGCAAGAACGGTTTAAGGTGCCACGCCAATTGTTAGAACTGAAGCTGAGCCGGAGAGGAAAGCGCCACCATTCCATGGAGGTCTCGTCCTCGCGCACATCACGCGTTCTCCTATAGAATGGGCGAGTGGTGCGCAACTTACCAGGCTTCTTCCTTAGTGACGCCACAAATGAAACTAGCAAACCTAGATATTGGACGTGGTTCTTGGCTTTTGTGCAAACGCTTTTTTGCATTTCTTATCATCCATTTATCATATTCCTTCCGTGCCATAGACTTTACATGAATATGTGACTAAGGAGTTTGTAACGGTAACTGCTTCGTTTAACTTAAATTGGTCTCCAATCATCAAAGGTTTCGAAAAGCCACGAATTGGAAAAAAAAAAAAAAAAAAAAATTTTTTGTTTTTTAAGCCTAGAACCATAAGTGTCAATGTATAATTAACGAAATACAGAATTTTCTGTAGCCACGAGGATCACGAATTGCTTTCAGAATTACTTAAATGTGTAAGGTCCTTCCAAAGGTTTGGGCTGTTGACCAACACTATAGTCACGGTCCAATCGTTTCACTATACATGGGCCTTTACCGGTCGATCCATCATAAGACGATTTAGTGTAACTATATAGATCAGATTCATTCAATCAATAAATCCTCATAATATATTGTGAGCATTTTTATATCGTAAAAAACGCAAATAAAGTAAAATTAGTAAACGGTGTTACCGTATGTTTCGTTGTTTTTAACAGTAACTAGGATACTTGATGTTTTCGAGGCGAGTAAAAACATCCTCTTATGCGATTTGTAATCCCGAGTAAAGAGTTCTGCCATTAAATAAAAAAAAAAAAAAAAAAAAAAAAAAACAAGAGAGAGAAAAACATCTAATCTTACGATAAACAATATTTTCAAAGACCATCGCGATAAGGAACAACCGGAGAGGGAGGGAAATTTTTCCGAGAACTGCGGAAACTCGCAGTGTATAAATACACGAGCTGACGTGAGGTATCCTCAGCTCGTGCGTGACCATGTGGATAGCTAAACTATTCGGTTTTGGGCTCTTAGCCATCACCGCGGAAGCTTGCAAAGCTCCCGGCAAAGTAAAAAACCTCGACTGGTGGAAGACCAGCGTTATCTACCAGATCTACCCCCGCAGTTTCAAGGACAGCAACGGCGATGGCATCGGTGACCTCAACGGCATAACTGAGAAACTGGAGCACATCAAGGACGCCGGAGCCGACGCTTTGTGGCTGTCGCCCATCTACTCCAGTCCCCAGAAGGACTTTGGCTACGACATTTCAAACTTTACCGACATCGCCGAGGAGTACGGGACTTTGGACCACTTCGACCAGTTGGTCGCCAAGGCCAAGAAGCTCGGGGTCAAGGTGCTCCTGGACTTTGTGCCCAACCACAGCTCGGACGAGCACGAGTGGTTCAAAAAGAGCGTCAAGCGCATAAAACCTTACGACGAGTACTTCGTGTGGAGGGATGGGAAAATTGGGCCGAAAGGTGAGCGACTCCCACCCAACAATTGGCTGTCCGTCTTTGGGAAATCCGCTTGGGAGTGGAACGAGGAGCGCAAGCAGTACTTCTATCACGCTTTCGTCGTTGGACAGCCCGACTTGAACTACCGGAATCCCAAACTTAGGCAGGAGATGGAGGACGTGCTCACGTTTTGGATGAAGCGGGGAGTCGATGGTTTCAGGGTTGATGCCGTCAACCACATGTTTGAGGTAGCCAATCTTCGTGACGAGCCGAGAAGCGGGAAGGCAGTACCAGTGGATGATTACGACTTTTTGGACCACACCTACACCAGAGACCTCAACGAAACTTATGGAGTCGTCGCATCGTGGCAGAAGCTCCTCGACAACTTTGTGGCTCAACACAAGACGGACGGCAAACTCATGATCCTGGAGGCGTACACCAGTATCCCCAAATCCATGCAGTTCTACAGCGTTGGCGCCAACCCCTTCAACTTCATGTTCATCGCTGATTTGAACCAAAATTCCAAAGCCATCGACTTCAAGAGGAAGATCGACGACTGGCTCAACGCAATCCCAGAGGGAAAAGTGTCAAACTGGGTCGTGGGCAACCACGACAACCACAGAGTAGCCACGAGGTACGGCGAAAAGCGCGAGGACCAACTGACCCTCCTCAGTGCCATTTTGCCCGGCATCACCGTAGTCTACAACGGCGACGAGATCGGTATGGTGGACCGGCCATTCACGTACGCGGAGACGGTCGATCCTGCCGGCTGCAATGCCGGCCCAGATAGGTACCACCTAAAGTCCCGGGACCCCGAGAGGACACCCTACCAGTGGGACGCTACGACGAGCGCTGGGTTTTCGACGTCTACCAAGACTTGGTTGCCGGTCCACGACAACTACAAGACTCTAAACTTGGCGGCGCAGAAGAAGGACGCAGTGTCGCACTACAAGTTGTTCCAGGCGACGACGAAGCTCAAGAAGACGCCAGTCATTCAGAAGGGCAGGACCGAAGTGCTACTGGCTGGAGAGAATGTCCTGGCTGTGGTCAGGCGGTTGAGCGGACAAGGGACCGTCACGCTTTTGATTAATTTCAGCGACAAGCCCGTGAAGGTTGACGCGAAAGGTTGGCTCAACATCCCGATGAAGGCGCAGATTTACGCGGCTAGCGTCAAGTCAGGACTGAAAGCCGGGGCTCAAGTCAAGGTGGACGACGTGACCCTTCCTGGAGCTGCCTCGGTCATTTTGTACTCGCGAGCTTAAACAAACGTTTATTCTCTCTCGTAGTCAAAACGATTAATGGCTATTAGGCAATTGAATTTGTACGATTCAAGTAATAACTTGATCGACTCGTAATGTAAGAAAAGATATAGTTAAATAAAAATTTGTTAATCGTATGCAACGACTTTTATTGTCCGTTTAATGTTGCGGTCATTGTATGTGAATTTGTTGTTTATTGATTGCGTACGTAAATGCTTCGTCTTTTGGAACAACACGTGCTGGATAATACGATGTAAATTTAAAATTTTATATTTAATTTGGAACTTCATCCAGATCATTTGGTCTTTGTTGTATCGGTTTATTATCCATGCCTAACCTTTTTTTTTTTTTTTTTAAA